AATGAACATTTCTATTTACAATGTAGAACAGATAATGAGGATTGCACATGAATCTGTGACTTTCTATTATATATAGCTTGCTTTTGCTTTTCAGTATATAACAAATTCAGTGTTACTTTCAAAGCTGTCCTGCTCATTTGTGTTTCTTTTTAAACTTCTGCTTGCTCTTATGCATCTAAAAAAAATACTTAAATTACTTTTTTCTATTTTTTTTGTAATATTGCTAGCCCTCTTGCCCTCAATTCCTCCATCAATAAAAAAAGATAAAACACTTGTAAAAGATATGTATAACTAAGCAAAACAAACCTACACATTAGTCATATCTGAAAATGTTATGTCCCATTCTGTACTTTAAGATCATCCCCTATCTTACCTGTGTAGGATGTTTCATTATTAGTCCTTAGGAATTTTTGCTGGTTATTTCATTGATCAAATTTTAAAGTCTTTCAAAGTTCTTTTATTGTTATTGTATAAATAATTCTTCTGATTCTGCTGAGTTCATTCTGAATCAGTTCATATAAGTTTCCCCAGGTGTCTGGAAAAACTGTCCCCTTTGTAATTTCTTACAGTGTAATAATAGTCTATTATATTTATATACTCTAATTTGTTTAGCCATTCCACAGTTGCTGGATACATTCCCTTAGTTTTCAGTTCTTGCTATAAGTGTTGCTATGAATATTTTTGCATATATGAGTCTTTTCCTCTTTCTTTGATTGTATTGCTGGACAAAAAGAATGCACAGTTTATTGACTTTTGGGGCATAGTTCCAAATTGTTTTCTAGAAAGGTTGGACCAATCCATCAAGAGTGCATTAGTGTGCCTGTCTTCCCAAAGGCAACAACTGTCATTTTCCTTGTCATCTTTGCCAATTTGTTGGATATGAGGTGGATCCTCAAAGTTCTATACATACATAACTTTATTCTTTCTCCTGAACTCTAGTCCTATACAATAAACTACCTATTGTACATTTCAAACTTTATGTCTCATGGTTACCTCAGCACACCCAAACTCAAACACAACACACCCAAAGTAGATCTCATTACCTTTTCCCCAAAAGCATCCCTCTTTAAAATTTCCCTATTTCTGGGGAGCAACCAACATTCTTCTAGTCACTGATTTTCTCCATTTTAATCATTGACTGTTTTTTTTAAAATCCAATTTTATTTTCAGGTCCACATTCTCATACTTCTATATCTCTCCCTTTTTCCTTATTAAGAAATAAAGAAAAATAAAACCCATTACAAATATACAAAGTAGAGCAAAACAAATTCCCACGTGGTCATGTCCAAAAAAAAAAAAAGTTCACTATGTACTCGGAATCCATCACTTCTCTATCTGGAGGTGGATACTATGTTTCATCACGGGTCCTCTAGAATTTTGGTAGGTCATTGTATAGATCAGAGTTCTTCAGTCTTTTCAAAGTTGTTTGTCTTTACAATATTGTTGTTATTGTATATGCATTTCTTCTCAATTCACTTTCCATCAGACATAGCCACCACTCTAGTTCAGAACCTCATCACCTTTTGCTTGGACTATTGCTATAGCTTGTTCTTTGGTCTCCCTACCTCTAGCCTCTCTCTAGGCAAATTCATCCTCCACACAGCTCCCAAATTTATTTTATTTTATTTTAAACAACTTTATTTTATTTATTTATTTAGACAATTGGGGTTAAGTGACTTGCCCAGGGTCACACAGCTAGTAAGTGTCAAGTGTTTGGTCTGAGGCCGAATTTGAACTCAGGTCCTCCTGACTTCAGGGCTGGTGCTCTATCCGCTGTGCCACCTAGCTGCCCCCAAAAATATGGAACGCTTCACGAATTTGCATGTCATCCTTGCGCAGGGGCCATGCTAATCTTCTCTGTATCGTTCCAATTTTAGTATATGTGCTGCCGAAGCAAGCATTTCTTTCCTTCTTAATAGACTCTAGGGACTCTCTTTGACTCAAGGCTCAAATATTTCATCTTTATCTTACCTTTTAAAATATATTTTTAGTATAAGTATAGTAGTAAATGAATATAATTATGAATAAGTAATTACACATATATTGAGGGTGAATACGCAAAATTATTTTACCAGCAGTGGTGCCTGATAAAAAAGTTTGGAGACCACTGTGTTGGAGAACAATTGAACTGCTGACTAAGTAGTTCAGCAGAGAGAAAGCAGAGGGTGACAACCACCATCTTCAGGAGTAGAGCTAAACTGCAGAAAGCCTTTAGCACAGAGTTAAAAGAAAGCAAAGGGTGGTGAAAGCAGAACCCCCAAACCATGCAAGGCAGTCTTTAGAAGAATGATTGTCTCCAGACTTTTTTGATGATGTACCCTTTTCTGTAAATGATTTTTTCTCCTTAGTGGGTATGCTGCCAAGGGAGTGGGGAATGTCCTCATGACCCCTATGCAAACGTGTGAAGGGGCTAAAGGAGACTAGATGGAATGTTAGGCCGTAAAGAGTGAAGGATAGATATAGTTGTGTTAGAGCCAAAGCTTGAGATTGGCTGTCCTGATGAAAGGTGGGAATGTAGACCCATCTTCTCATCCTCTGATTGGCTGATCACATATCCCTGGGGTCATGCCTCCACTTCCCATTTTGGAATTTTATTGGAATGTGCCTTAAAATCCCCAGCTTCTAGCCTCAGCTTTGTTTTGCTGCCTACCCTTCTGTGCTTTGGGTTAGGAAAGCCACAATACAGCTCTTTTATCTTCTTTGGATAACAACTGATTGTATATGGATGGTAAGTGAGAGTGAAAAATTGAGATTATGAATTTGGATAATTGGAACAATGGCAGTGCCCTCCAAAGAAATAGGAAAATTAAGAAGAGGGATGGGTTTAGGAGAGAAAATGAGATTTGTTTTAGGCATCTTAACTTTGAGATACTAGCATTCAGAGGTGTGGAACTAAAGTTCAGGAATGAAATGAAGTCTTAATATGTATATTTGAGAGTCATCTGCATAGAAATGATAGTTGAATGAAAAACTGATGTGCTCACCAAGAGAGAAACTAGGTAAAAGAAAGAAATAGACATAAGAGAGAGCCCAGGGCCAAGCCCTGGGTTACACCCATGCATAAGAGACAAGACATGAATGATGACCTGTCAAGGAGACTAAGAAGGATTGGTCATACAAGATATACAGGTCATACAGGTAAGAAGAGAACCATGACTGAGCAGTGTCTTGAAACTCAGGGAGGAGACAGTATCAAGAAGGACGGGGTTGTCAAGTGTCAGGTGCAGAAAAGGCACCAAGGATAATTACTGGAAAAAGGCCACTGGATTTAGCAATAAAGAGATTATTGGTGATCACGGAGACAGCAGTTTCATTTCAGTGTTCAGGACTGAATCCAGATTGCAAGGGTTGAGTAGGAGGTGAGAAAGTGGAGGCAATAAGCTATATAGCCTTTTCATTTACATTATTCTAGTCAATGTTCATGTTGTTCTTCATTTACATTATTGTAGTCATTGTGCATATTGTTCTCCTAATTCTGCTTTTTACTTGGCATCCATTCATACAAATCTTCCCAGGTTTTTCTGAATTTCTCATTCATTTCTTAACTGCCCAAAAATATTCCAGTGCATCCACATTTCACAGTTTGTTGATTCATTCACCAGTTTTATTTCTAGTTCTCCGTTACCACATAAAATGGGGCTATGACTATTTTGGTATATGCAATGCATAATTTTACAGAAGCAAGAAAGAGGGGGCAGTCCATAGTTTCCAATGCTGCAGAGAGGGCAAAGAGAATGATAGCTGAGACAAGGCCATTCCATTTATTGAAAGGACATAGGTGACCTTGGAGAAAATGGTTACAGTAGAGTACTGACTTATGTGTTTTTTTTTTGCCTCCTCTTGTCTAACCTGTTCCATCTCTCTACTATAATAAAATTATTTAATTTTGGACATATTTGGTAAAAATTCTCACACGTCCAGGGTCCTTAAGTACATCAGTTAAAAATGACAAAACAGCGCCTGTAAGATAAGTAACCTCTTGACTGCTGGTGAGGTCACCCGGTGACTCTAGGGATGGCACATAGCAGATACATGGTTATCTTTATTTAACAGATGAGGAGACTGATGACCTCCCTTTCATTGCTTCTGGTCGGTTTATCAGCTCTACCCGAGCCCATGTTTCCTGATTCATAAGTTAAAGCTTACTTTTCTGGATGTAGTTCTTGACCTTTCACCTACTTTGTCCCGGGGACCCACCCACTAGGCCTCACTGCCAAAAACAAAAACAAAAAACCCCCAACGGGTCTGCAGAGGATGTGGAAACAAAGGCGTAGCTCGGGATGATGAGCCAGCAAAGCGGGGTGCTGGAAGCGGACAATTCCCCGGACACAAAAGCGCCGGCCACTGAAACATAAGCAACACTACGGACATCCCCATTCTTTTCCAGGAAATGGAAGGGGGGCCAACAACAGCTCTCAGTTCCTTTAACCTTTCATGAACCAAACCTGGGGCGCAAACGCAGGGGCGAAGGCAACCCCTCTGTAACCCTCCCTGCGCCGCTCCCAAGAGCTGGGCAGCCGCACCCCCTCCCGCCACCCAGAGAGGCTTCACCCCGCCCAAGTCAGACCCCGCCCCGCGGAGGGGGCGTCTCCCTGGCCACACCCCATCCCCACCCATCTTCCCCTCCTCCTTCTCCCTGGACTCCACCCCCGCCTCTTTCCTCTTGCTCTAGGTTCTCCGCTTTCTCGGGTTGGAGGCGGCGCATTTCTGTGACGCGCACACGCGCGCCGGGGCGCGCTTCCCCTCCGACGTCTCCCCCTCCCCTGAAGGGGAGGAGCCAAACGGTCCCCTCCCTCCCCTCCTCCCTCTCCTCCCTGTCTCCTCCGCCCTCCTCGCGCCCCATCCTCCCCCGAGCGCGAGCGGCTTCCGCGGCGGCGGCGGCAGCGGCGGTTGTTGTTGTTGTCGTGCCCGTGCCCGCGCCCGCGCCCGCGCCCGCGCCCTCTCCCGCTCCGGCCCGCACTCGCTCCCCAGCCCCCAGCCCCCAGCCCCCGGCCCCCAGGCGGGCGATGGTGCCGCGGTGCCGGCGGATCTGGGCGGCGGAGCGGAGGGCATGAAGGAGGATGGAAGCGGAGGACGAGGTGTCCCTCCGGGAGCAGCATTTCCACAGCCAAGTGCGGGAGTCCACGGTGAGTGAGGGAGGAGGGAGCGGGGAGCGGGGAGGAGGGCGCAGTCGGGGGGCGCTGCCCGCCGCCGCCGCCGCCGCCGCCGCCGCCTCCACCTGCTCGGCCGGGCCTTCCCCTGCCAAGTGCGGGGAGCGGAGCGGAGCGCCGGACCCCGCGGGCGGCCCCTCCTCTGCTTCTCCCCAGCCCCACCCCCGCCTTCTGACGCGCTCCGCTCCGGGCCCACCTTCATCCTCGTCTTCGCCGTGGCCAGCACCGCGGCCAGGGCTCGGGCTCCGGCGTGCTCGCCTGTGAGCTGACCAGCGGGCCCTGGCCGTGCTGCGGCGCCGGGAGACCCCCGACCTGCCCGGGTGCCCGCTGCGAGAGCCCGTCACTCGCGCCCGGCTCGTCTGCGGGCGTGTGGAGGATTCCCGGGACGTAGCTTTGCGATCGTCCGGTGTTGGCTGTCACTGCCCCTTCCCTCCCGGATCTGTAGTCCGCAATTCGTCTTTGGCTTCATTGCTTCCCCCTCTCCCCCCAGTCCAGGTTGGGTGGCAAGATGACTGGGCCGAGGTCCAGGGGCCGTAGGGACGGACTCACTTCAGTCTTCAGTCTCTGTCACCAGCGGTGTTCAAGAAGCAGACACCAGAGACTCAAAGAAGCTCAAGTTTGATATTTCCACCTGTACCTTTTTTTTCTCCTTTCCAGCTCTTAGGGGAGAGAGAGACAGAGAGAGAGAGAGAGAGAGAGACAGAGAGAGAGAGAGAGAGAGAGAGAGAAGGCAGCATAGCATCCGTGCATTTTTCTTGAGTCCTGTTAGTAGAAGAAAGAGGTGGACTCAAGATGGGGAGAGTGTTTTCTTTCTATCTATCCATAGGCAAGTGTTCAGTACCTTGCTAATAATTTTTCTTTCCAACTGAAACTTCTCTTTCTCTTTCTTTCCTCCTCCTTCTTCCTTTTCTTCTTCTTCTTCCCCTCTGTCCTCCTCCCTTTCTGTCTCTCTACTCTTTTTTTTTTGGTTAGGCAGTGGGGTTAAGTGACTTGCCCAGGGTCACACAACTGGTGTTATGTGTCTGAGGTTGGATTTGAACTCATGTCCTCCTGAATCCAGAGCCAGTGCTCTATCCACTGGGCCACCTAGCTGCCCCTATTCTCTTCACTGTTAGTTATATTTTACTTTTGTGTTATTTGGCCTTCCCCAACATAAACATTAGTCCTGCCTCTGACATATACTGTCAGTGTGACCCTGGGCAAGTTACTTAGCCCTTCAGGGGTTTGGGTAACTCTAGGACTACAGAATTTTAACAGTTTTCAGACTCCCTTAACAGTCAGGTGAAGCCTATGGTTCCCTTCTGAGAATAATGCTTTTTAAGTGCACAAAATAAATGATCCATAATTGCAGAGGAAATCAGTTGTATTGAAATAGTTATCAAAATATTTTTTTTTTTTTAAGTTTTAGGCAGTAGGGATTAAGTGACTTGCCCAGGGTCACACAGCTAGTAAGTGTCAAGTGTTTGGTCTGAGGCCGGATTTGAACTCAGGTCCTCCTGACTTCAGGGCCGGTGCTCTATCCACTGCGCCACCTAGCTGCCCCCAAAATATTTTTTTTAAAAAAGGTGACAGACCCTAGGTTAAGAACTCTTGCACAAGACTGTAAATTATAGAGAAGAGGCAGACCTGCATTGGTAGAGGGAGTTCTATGAATTAACAGGTCTAGTTCTTGTCTCTGTCCAAATAAGCAAAGTTTCCTAAAGATCAGTTACATTCTGTAAATTGTAGAGTGTAACATCTCCTTTTGCCTTACTTCATTACACAAAGCTTCGAATAATTTGCATGAATTTTTTATAGTTCTTTGGTAAACATGGATTTTTATGGTTTTGAATATTAGATTTGAAAATAAGAGGGGCAGCTAGGTGGCGCAGTGGATAGAGCACTGGCCCTGAAGTCAGGAGGACCGGAGTTCAAATCTGGCCTCAGACCAAACACTTGACAATTAGTAGCTGTGTGACCCTGGGCAAGTCGCTTAACCCCAATTGCCTTTAAAAAAAAAAAAAGAAAATAATATGCCAGATTTCTGTTAGTTACAATTTCCTACAGTTTTTTAAAAGGTTATTATGTTTTCTGGTTTTCATAATAGTAATTTTTGTAACACCTTACAATTTTTGTTTGGCTTTCACATTCTTTAGTTTTGAGTCTCTCAACTCTGTGAGCTGGGAACTTTATAGCTAATAAAGCTGAGACCTGGAGAAATTAAGTGATTCCCACAGAGAGTCTTGCACAAGTTGAATGGGCGACTGTGGGGTACAGTGAGCTGTTCTTCACCAAAGGTCTTCAAGGAAAGATTGGATGACCATTTGTTTGGGATGGTATAGAGGGGATTACTGTTCAGTTATACTTGAGGCTGAAAACCCCTTGAACTCTGGCATTTCTGTGGTACTCTGACCTGCCTCAGGTCACAAAGCTACTAAGTGATTGGTGTGGGTCCCGATGGATTCTGAGTCTAGTGTTCTTTCCACCATAATACAAGGCCCTTCCTGACAAACGATGTCTGAATTTATTCATCAGATTTTTTAAGTTTTAAAATAATTTCTATATCCTCTATTTAGTGTAGTGTCTCATGGTTTGGACGTGACCCTGGGTGGGTTATGCCAGGGGATCAGCAACTTAGGCAGGTTCTACTTAGCTGGAAAGGTTTGGAAATCATAGGATTTGAACTGAAAGACACCTCAGAGGTCATGTCATACAACCCTTTGATTTTGTTAATGAGGGTCACCCAACTGGTAAGTGGTAGAACCGAGACTCGCTCTCAGCCGCTGTGACTCCAGATCTGGGGCTCTTCACATTGTCCCATCATGCCATCAGGATGTGAAGTTTGGCTTATCTCAGTAAGCAATGGGAGTCCTTTTGTAGTGCGACATTAACTTCTTCTTCATCTTTGTTTTTTGTCTTCCTCTTGTCTTCTTCTTTGTCTTCTTCCTTGCCCGGGGTCACACAGGTAATGTCCAAGGCTGGATTTGAATTCAAGTTCTCCTGACTTCAGGGCTGGTGCTCTATCCACTGCATCACCTGACTGCCTGTAGCAATAACTTCTTAAATAATTTCTGTTCCCCTGAAATCTACTGTCTATGAAGGCTGCAAAGGTTTTGTTTTTGTTTTTGTTTTTGTTTTTTGTTTGGAACGAAGGAGAGAGGAAAATAGTTAAAAGAATGGGAGTATGGAGGAAAAAAATGAGAAGTGCTCAATGTAGCTAGTATATATTGTGCCTAGAGAGATTAAATTTCTTAGGGAAAAACTCTAGTTCAGTAGGGAGGCTAATTGGTCTTGGGGGAGAGCACTTTGGTTGATGCAATTTATGGTTCCTTCTTAGCAAGGAGCGTGCAAACAATATAACCCTACTTTTAAATAAATACTGCAGAGAAGAAATCTGGGAGTATTATCATTTGGCTTATAGTTTATACATAGTGGTCACTGAAAATAATCTTGGATTCTGCACGCTGGTGGTGTGTTACTTCATCCTGAAACACCATTTTCTTCTCCTCCTTAGGCCTCTTGTTTCTTAGAGGATTAAGTCCAAACCCCTTACTTTGATATTCATAGTGCCTCACAGTTTGACTTCTGCCTTCCTTGCCAGCCCTATATCACTCTTCTTCCTTACTCATCCTTTAAGATTTAGCTTAAATAAAATCTATGAAGTGTTCTGTATCTAGCTCAAAGTGATCTGTCCTTTCAATTCTTTTAGTATTTGACTGTATTATTCATAAGGCATTTAATTATACTGCCTTGTCATAGTGCTTGTTTTTTTTTTTTTTTTTTTTTCGTTTTTTTTTGGCTTGACCCATGGTTTAATTGGAATAAAGAACTCTACATTCCCATGGGGAAACACCCTTCACTGATGCAGGCCTGCAACTGTAACTTAAAGTTTTAGGCAATTGCTTCAGGCACTGAGAAGTTTAAATAAGTAGTTTCACACCTTGTATCATCTGGAGCAGAGGTCAAATTGTTGGCCTACTGGCTGCAAGTAGCTTTCCTCAAAACTCCCAAGCACAGTAGGAACCAGAATAAAATGTAATTGAGAAATGTTTAAGAAAATAAATAAAATTACAGTACAACATAGATAATGTTAATTTGTGGTTTTCTGAGTCATTGTGCTTCTGTAGGGATTCATTTCTTTTTGATGCTGTTAGTTTATCTACCTGCTTAGCACACACATCAAATATTACACAGTTCAGAATATAAAGTAAAGTAATTGCACATTACATTATGAGTACAGCAATCTCACATCAATCCTAGTCTTTACACATAATTTTCATTTATTTGTTTACTGTGGGCATGGCTATCAACTAAGTTCTTCTTTTTCCCCCCTGTTTTGTAGGCATCATAGGTGTCTGTACCAACACTTATACTTCTTACTTCTCTATGTGTACTTTCTTTGTACTTTAAATATTTTATTATTCTTTTCAATTACATGTAAAAACAATTTTTAACATTCATTTTTTGAAATTCTGAGTTCCAAATTCTCTTCCTCCTTACCTTCACTACTTTTATTAAGAAGGCAAGCAGTTTGATATAGGTTATACATGTACAGTTATATAAAACATTTCCATGTCAGCAATGTGAAAGAAAACACAGACCAAAAAAAAAACTGCAAGAAAAATAAAGTAAAAAAAAAGTATGCCTCGATTTGCATTCAGACTCCATTAGGCCTTTCTCTGGAAAGGGATAGCATTTTTTTTCATAAGTCATTGGAAATTGTCTTTGATCATTATGTTGCTGAGAATAGCTAAGTCATTAACAGTTTGATCATCAAACAGTATTGCTGTTACTGTGTATAAAGTTTTGGTTCTGCTCATTTCAGTTTGTATCAGTTCATGTAAGTCTTTCCAGGTTTTTCTTGAAAGCATCCTCCTTGTCATTTCTTAAAGTACAATATATTCCATCACATCATATACCACAACTTTTTCAGCCATTCCTCAGTTGATGGGCATTCCTTCAACTTCCAGTTCTTTGTCACTACAAAAAAAGCTGCT